ACTCTGCTCTAGTTAAACGGGCAGCCCCCAGCTAACTGGACTGAATCTGGAGAAGATGGGAGAAAAGAACTGTAGGTTTAAAATCTGTTCTTTCAGGTTGCTGTGATCCCAGAGTGAATAGTGCTTCAAACCCACGTATTGTCTAGAGTTCTTTCACTACTTTATCAGATCACTGTAAGCTGGACCTTAGCAGGCTCTTTCATTTCCATAAATTGGGATTTCTGGGGCTGAAAATGCCTAAAAAGGAGCAACAGCACTTTGATAAAACTGGCCCAAGCAGTGACAGAAAGAAGCCTGTGCTACTGAAAAGGAATGCTATAGTCTAGTCAAACCTGTCTTTAAATTTTGACCAACAGTGTAGAAAATAGCATCTGATTTGTCAGCAGCATGAAGAAAGGCCATTGAGAAACCTGCAGTTCTCTCCTAATCCTCATCCTAATTCCTCCAACTCCCAAAGATACCTAAGCAAATTTTTAGATTGAAGTATTTTGACATTTCATGTTAGATTAAGAAGTAGCTCTTTAGATCAGGGGATTTCCATGCCAGGAAAATACATGCTGCTCAGATGCTTGAGCCCTGTTGATATTCTCTACCAAATGAAGTTATTCTTTCCGGAGGTGATCTCGGGACACTCACTGTTGATTTTACCAAGATTCTGGATCAAAACATACAACTATAAGTTACATCCCAAAGTGTTCCCAACCAGAAGTAGACAAGACTCAGGCAGACAGAAATGTTCGGTTTTTTTTCTTTTGTGCCAGCTGCAATGGAAGGAACAACTTTTATCCAGTCTACGAGGCAGGCAGGAATGTCACTGATCTGGGTTAGGAGCTCTTGTGTCAAGGTTGTAAAAACGCGCAGCTGCGTCACAGCCATCACGTAGGAGTTTATAAATTTTCCATGCCACAATTAATCAATTTCAGTGTATGAGATTTCCTCGCTGGCACACTTCCTGACTCCCTGTGGCACTTCATCTGTCACTGATAAACAACACAGGGATTTGTCAAAGTGTTAATGGGGGTGGCTTTTCTCAGAGTCATCAAACTGTGCACGTATGTGAGTGTCACGTTAGGAGTTTCTTACAGTCTCTTCCTGAATTTATGGAGCTCTCAAGAAGAGAGCTCCTTTTCCAGTTAAACAGGCAGTTAGCTCCTTTTGGGTTTTGGAGCAAATGGTTTAGTGCTAGCAGGTGTTGCTTTTGCCAAGTTCAAGAAGCTGGTAATACACCAATTGATGACTTAAAACAGAATTTAATAAAAAGCTATTTATCCTAGAAATACTAAAGCCAAAAAAACAGTTACGTGAGACAGAGGTTGCTATATTACTCATAAATCAAAGTGGCGGAAAGGAAAGAAAAGTAAGGCATGAAGTTCTCACCTTATGTATGTATGGTATTTTCTCTCAGATTTTATAAACAAATAAAATATACTAAAAAATAGACCAGCTATGCTTCTGATGCACAACAAGCATGAAGATTAAATTGTCATTGAAACAGCTCAAATTGGGCTAAGCCATTTGTTTATTGATTGTTTTCCCTCCAACTCTACTGACATCATAAAGGCATTCAGCTCAAAGCACCGGTGGAAGTGAAACATTCATGGTATCCTTTTCAGTAACTGGAAACCTTATGCTTAATTATTTCTGCTCTAGAATGCCTGTAATGTTTGAAGGCTTAATACCTTGCTAATCAGTACCTCACTAATTAGTCCATGACAAGAATTTTAATTAGATGCACAGTAGGTGTTCTCCCTGTGTACAGAAGAGCTCTTTCCCAGGGAGAAAAGAGAAGGAAAAAAGATAGTGGAAGGCATCAAGGGAAGAGAAATATGTCTCTTCTACTGAGAGAAGATTGTACAAGAATTAGTATTTGTAAAAATTTATTCTGTTTTGTAAAATATGTTAAACTTCACTTTGTGATTTGTAGAACATAAGATACCTCTTTTTTTGTGAATTGGCATTTGTTTTAAGCCAGACAAGAAATACTGGAATGTGACAACAGTCAGTTATGCTCATGGCCAGCTGCAAGGACTGAGCTCAGAGCATCCTCATGTACAAGTTTCTGTAATCTGAGTTAAAGAGCTGAGCTGCATATCTGTGAGCTGGAACAAGGTGAAGGGGTAAAAAGAAGATGCGCAGCACTCATCACCAGCGGTGTTAGTTGAGCCTTGGCTTGGACACATTCTAGAATTCCTATCAGAAGAAACCCAAAGATAATAGTAGTGATCACCATCATCTGTATTTGGTTGGCTGGTTAGTTCTATCAGAAAGATGCAAGAGAGGGACAGAAGATAGTTCTGATAATACTGCCGGTGCTAATGTTCTCGTTGGCTTAATGGTATATATGCCACTGGAGAGAATTTTAGGAGTATTCTGGATGAAGGCTATTCAGAAATCTGCAAAAAAAAGCTACTGCAGTGAGAGTCTTACAAAGTTACTTGTATATATATATACATGTAACTCAGGCTTCCAGGGAGAGGCCCTTGTCAAATCTCATAGTCTCCATATACTGCCGTTTTCACAGCTGTGAATGAAGTGTTTCAGTAGATATGGGACATTCTGAAAAATGATGACCATGTCCAAAGAACCTTTCATATAAAGAGTTATAACCACCAGTGAAATAAAAATAAGGATGGACTGCACAAAAGAGAAAACTAGTTGATGATTTTTACCCCTCTGTATAAGGATACTTCAGCAAAAGGCTTCCTGGAGGAACATGAGATCTTGCTTTAGAATTAGCATTATTTGAAAAATGCATTTTTCATTTGGTTTTGATTGGGAAAATTCTTTCACACGGTGAATACAGTCACAGGTAAGCCATGCTCAATGAATGCTCTGTCTGTATGTAAAAGCTGTGACTAAAGAATGCTTTTATCTACAAGGAATTGTAAGGAAAGCATGAATAAAGTGGCACCCTTTTTGTTTTCAATAAACACTGAAGCAAGTCAGAGGTTGGAATGTTTGCAGATCCAGTGATTATTAGATGGACTGTATTGAACATTTCTGGAAAGAAATGCCAAATTAATCAATGGAGAAGAATCTGTGTTATCCATAAGTATAAATTGTATCAAGAAACTGAAAAAGGTGATGTAATTGTTGTGCCAAAATGAAAATAACCCAGGCTTGGTCAGTTAATATGAACAGTATGTATATTGTTGGTAGAATAACTCTGAATATAGTAAAAGTCAAAGAAAAAAGATGATGCTCTGTGAACCACTCTACAAATAATAAATGTTAATGTAGAATTGCATTTGCTCTGAAGTGTTCGCTCAGCTGTCCTGCCTGACTAAAAAATGTTATTTTTTAAATTGCCTTTATTAACTCACCTGTTGTAGGAGATATAGTAATTTCCCAAAGCAAAATTGTTTGCTACAGTAAGTTCAATTAGAAAGAGAAAGGTGTGGGGAACTCGAGCTGGGATTAGTGGGATTACATGATTTTTCATATTTTATGGGAGATGTAAAGCTGGTCCAGGTACAAACAATCCTGTTACTTAGAATGTAGAATGGGTCTCTTAAGGCTTACCTCATTTTGCAGATTGCTGTGAGCCTTCCTTGACGCCTCCCAGCCAGCAAGACACAAACTAGCTCCAAATCAGAGGCCGTGTGGCCACTTCAATAAGGCATCATACTGAAGGCTTTTATCTTTAGAGAAAGGCAGGATATATTAGTTCCTCAGCTTAATGCCATGGTACACACATCTGTATCTCTCATAGCCAAATCAGAGCATGAGTGAACTTGAATATACCTATAAACATTGTACAGCCATGCCCTTTGTCCACTTTGTAATGAGACTGCTACTCACATCACAAAATGTCCACCATAAACAGCACTTTAGTGGAACCTTTATCAATACTCTCAGACTTGAATAGGATATTGGGAAAAGGCAGCTGTAATGTACCAGCACTTCATTTGAGCAGTGCATTATGGAGAGAAAAAAAATAACAATCAGAAATCTCTTACGTGACTGCTTTCCTTTCTCCAAGAAATAAAAGGAAACTAGTCTTCCGCCCAGAGTCCTCTGGTAGGCAGATAGTAGACTTGAGCAATTAATACTTTTATCCTTCCTATTAAATACATGTGTGGGTTTGCTATTGAAAACAGCAGAGTATTTTGGATTCTGTTCCTCTACATAGTATCTCCTTTTCATCCCACATGGCCCAATGTTATTTGACATGATCTAGTTGAAATAAGGATGTAGATTAAAATGTGGGTCAGAGCCTGAACCAGGTTTGTTTTGCTAGAGTAATTATCCATAGGAAGTGGTGAAGCTGACACAGATTCCATTTTTTTAAGTGATTCTAAAGATGTTTATTCTGGAAGCTTTAGTCTTTTACAGTTTGAATGCCAGCTGTGAGGGAAGCCGTAGTTTTTTTCTATTCTCTATCTGGCAGTAGTGTTCTTAGTAATATTCTGAAGGCTGCAGGACAAAATATTCTTACTTCTGAGCCTTTTTCTGGAACTCATTTAATCAGAAACATGCTGTCCTGAGTTTGAATGAATATTTGGAGTGTATTTGCTTGAGTAAATAGAGGTGTTATGTTGTGGAGTGTGGATTTTGTTGTGTGATTTTTTTTCTTTCTTCCACCCAGAACTGGTTAGAAAAGCATTTTCTAAGCTGCAAACTAATTTCTGAATCTTTTATGATTTCTTCTCTCTTATATAATTTAAACTGAAGATTCCTTATTTAAGAAAACCTAAACTGAATTTCAGAGCTTGTGTTATGTAAGTCAGTTAGTTACATCAAGCGGAAAAACTGAACATTGCCTTTGGGAGATAGAGAGGGGGAAAACAAATGCTTGAAAGCTGAGTCTAGGGAATGGAGGGCAATTTTGGGACCAGCTTTCCCCCAAACCATGCCACAAAGAGGCTGGCAAAAGGCACTGAATACATGTGGAGCACCAGTCATCCACAAAGGTTCTCCGGGATCGATTATGGATATTTAAATGTGAATGTTCTGTCTGGGAATAGTACTTAGGCTTTTCACATGATTTTGTCTTCCAGAATGATTGAAGATTGCGGGAAAAGAGGAAATACCATGGCAGAAAGAAGGCAGCTGTTTGCAGAAATGCGTAAGTACTTCCTAGAAATTTCACTGTATTAGACCAAGCCACTTGCATTGCAATGTCAGTAAAATTTATGTAAGCTTTCCATCTCAAGTAACTGATACGTTTGTTTCACAAACAGTTTAATATTGTGAAAACAAAACTACAGGAAAATGGGCTGATTTAACCAAATATCAGGAGAAATGAATTTCCTATACTGGCTTTTGTATTTTTTCTACACTACATGATATTATTTAAATTAATGCCTTCTTGAGACGAATATGCTGAAATACACAGGTAGCAGTGAAAGGGGACTGGGGGGGGCAAATGTTTCCAAAAGCAGACCGGTGCCCAGCCAGTCTCTGAAGAGTGCCCACCTTGGAAGACAAAACTCCTCATCCTCTTCTTCTACCCCGACTTTTTATTGCTGAGCATGATGCTGTATGGTACTGACTACCCCTCTGGTTATTACAGATCAGCCATCCTGACTGTATCCCCTCCCAGCTTCTTGCTTACTCCAAGCCAACTTACTGCAGGGGCACAGTGGGAAAGTAAGAGCACCTTGATGTTCTGCTCAGCAGTAACTAAGAAACACTGATGTATTGTTGACGCTGTTCTCGCCAAAAATAAAAATACAGCACTGTGCAGGCTGCTATGAAAGCTAACTCCATCCCAGCCAAACCCAGTACAATCACTATGTTTTACTCCGTATCACTTGCATCATGCTCCTGTCTTATATGATCCACCATTCTCCCAGCCCTTTAGCACATAGGCAGTTACAATTCCTTTAGTCTAAGAGCCATTCCCATCAATTGTCCATAAGGTACCCATTCAAATGTCTGTAGAAGTGTGTTCAGTTAATTTTAACCATAACTTGAGCACCATCTGTTGTGGTGGTCACTAAGGATAGGATAGGCGGTGAGTTGTGTTGTGCGCAGAAACTGGCTTAGATTGGATCACTACTGAACATGCCCAGTTCCTTACAAGGCTCATCGTCCACTGTTTCAGGTGATACCTGCTGTAGTATTTTGACGTAGAAGGATAGCATACAACAGCGACATACAGTTTGGGCATAATTATGATGTTTAGAACTCAAATCATGGGTTATTTCCCCCCAAGGTTAAAGCTCCTTAGGGTGCATACTGGGTTTCACCATCTTCACACATTACCCACCAAGTTTGCCTGGGTCCTCTGGTGAAAGCAATCCCACAAATATATTTACCTTCTCCCAAGGAAAGAACAACCCATGCCATCTTTCCCAGCCAGTTCTCTATATCACTGTGGAGAAGTACTGTGGGGACCTTATCTCCTTCCATAGTATGTAGGGATAAGAAGGAAGAAATGCTCTTGGTACTCAATTTGAATCATTGATCCTCTTGGGACAGTGCTTCCTCAGCTGAGATGCAGCCCCATAGGGTGAATGAGGAAGAGAGATTTTCTTTGAATCCATGAAGTTGGAAGGACAGTCTTTGTGTGGTTGCTGCCTTGAAGTCTGTTTGAGCAGCCAGTTGTCGCGAAAGTATAGGCGTATAACTCTGGTGTGTTGCATACCAGCCTCCACCACATGGGTTGTGTGCATTGTACAGCATCTGGATCTTTGGTGTCCTGTTGTCCAGATTGCTATAGACTCTGTCCACTACTGCTAATTCCCTCAGATATTTTCCTCAGCAGTGGTCCACTGCCCATGGTAGTTTACTTTGTTTTTGAAAGCAATCACCTTCATGCTTGACATGAGCTGCCTCCAGAGGCTGCGGACATCTGGCCCTTTTCTGACTATTTTGTGGGTTAGGTGGTCCCTAGAGAGGGATCCCAGCTGCTGAGCTTCCCTGCCCTCCAGTTCCAGACCACTGGCACCACTGGCCCAGCATTTGAGCAGCCAGCTGCTCTCCTGGATCATGGCCACAAGCATCTCGCATATCCCACAGCTTATTCAGGGATGAGGTGGTTTTTGCCTCTTCTGTGATGTTTCTCTTCCCTTCCATGTCCTTACATCTGTCCCACTGAGGAGCAGGCTGCTTGCCATGGTTTTCCCTCCTGCTTCCCTCCATGCTACTCATGGGGAACCTCTTTGTCCCTCACCAACAGTCAAGAGTTGAGTCTCTGGTTTAGCCACAATGTCTGTTTGTTCTCAGGTCTGTAGATCCTTCCAGTGTCCATCTGTGTGCCCTCAGATCCAGATCTCACCCCACCAGGAGCTCTATATAGAGCATCTTTGTAGATGTAAAAGGCCACAGCATAATGCTAGAAGCTGCTGTCAGGAAGGACAAGGCATCTTTGTTGCAAGTGATGCACCACAGTGCAGAAGACTAAGAAAGGAAAAAAAGAGAACCTAGATGGTGTGCAAGCAATAGCTAAAACACTGGTATGTTATCAACACTGTTTGAGTCACAAGTCAAAAATACAGTGCTCCGCACACTGCTCTAAAGAAAGTCAGCTCTCTCCTAGCCAGACCCAGTACAGGGTTTCATGTACCTCAGGTACCACTTCAGTATATTTTTTTTAATGTCTAGTTAAGCTTTGTGTTCCCTGCAGAACTGTGTGTCATGGATGTGTTGTTCTAACAACGCTCCTGCTATTCTCTTGCCAGTCCCCTCTTACTTCTCTTACAATACACCATTTCACAGGGAATTCGTATCATGTATGAAGTTTGAGACTGGCACCTTCTTGCTAGATCTACCAACGTTTTGTTTGTTTGATGGTTAAGATTCCTATTATTTGCCCCTTGAAATATAGAAATATAGAAAATGGATTTTTGTGAATATTTATTCCTCAAAATATTTGATCAAGTTAGCACGAGGAGCTGGTTGCCCTTTCTGTCCTGTGTATCAAGACTTTGGTTCTCTAAATTTAAAGGCAAGGCCTTAATGAAAAAAAAAAATCATTAATGTGTCCAGAGCAGCTGTGCACTCTCAAAGGCCAGGGCTATCCTGGTAAATCAAATGTGGTCAGTACTGTTCTCCAGGGATCAGCTCAGGTGCACTGAATGGTGTATGTCTGCAATACTGAGCTCTGCAAAATAAGGACTTTTCATTCAGCTAGCCTGTTAAGAACAGGCTTGGCCCATTCCACTGTGTCCACTAGCTTTGACTGTAGAATCATAAAATTGTCAAGGTTGGAAAGACCAGTAAGATCATCTATCCAACCATCAGCCTATGCCTGTTAGCACTCTAGACCACGTCACTCAGTGCGACATCACCCTTTTCTTGAACACCTCCAGAGATAGAGATTCCACCACCTCCCTGGGTAGCCTGTTCCAATACCTCACCACTCCTTCTGAGAATAAATTTTTCCAAATATTCACCCTAACCCTCTCCTGATGAAACTTTAGGCCATTATCTCTTGTTCTGTCACAGTTATGTGGGAGAAGAGGCTGACCACCACCTCACCACAATCTCCTTTCAGGTCGTTGTCTCCCCTGAGCCTCCTCCAAATTGAGCAATCCCACTTCCCTCAGCCACTCACCGTAAGACTTGTGTTCCAGACACTTCACCAGCTTTGTTGCCCTTCTTTGGACACACTCTAGGGCCTTAATGTCTTTATTGTAGTAAGGGGCCCAGAACTGAACAGAGTGCTTGAAGTGTGGCCTCACCAGTGCCAAGTAGGAAGGGACAATCACCTCCCTGGTCCTGCTGGCTGCACTATTTCTGATATAAGACAGGATGCCATTGGCCTTCTTGGCTACCTGGACGCACTGATGGCTCATGTTCAGCTGGCTGCTAACTGACACCCCCATATCCTTTTTCCTCCCTGCGGCTTTCCAGCCACTCTGCTCCAAGCTATAGCAATGCATGAGGTTTTTGTAACCAAAATACAGGATCCAGCTGTACTTTTTAGCTCCCTACTATGGGCAAGGACACCTCCCTCTACACCAGGTTGCTCATAGCCCTATCCAGGCTGGTTTTGAACATCCCCTGGGAGGAAGCATCCACAGTCTCCCTGGACAACCTGTTTTAAAGCCTCAACACCCTCACAATAGAATTTCTTCCTAATATCCAGTCTAAATCTACCTTCTTCAAGTTTGTAGCTGTAGGATAAATGTTGAGTCATGGCCTGAACCACTGATTGAGCACCCAGGGGAAAGGACCCAGTCAGCCCTGGTAGCACAGGTGAAGGCAATTCTCCTGTGTGACTGGAAGGGGTGGAGCCTGGCTACACCTCTCTTAAACCCCACTTAAAGGCTGACCCCTACTAGGAAGGTTCTCTTTCTGGATGTCTCTCCTTTGTGGAGTTTTTCACTCTGAGCCTAGATGTTTGGTGAGCAGTCCTTTCATGTTTCTAACACTTTTCTGTTGCATCAGTCTCTCAGTCATTGCACGTCTTCTATCACCCTTCTATTGTGTTGATCTTTCTGATTGTTATAGTAGCCATTTCCCCTCATGCTGTTGCTACTTGCCCCTATAAAAAAATCCCTCCCTAGCTTTACTGTAGGCCTTGTTCAAGTACTGGAGGGCTGCTAGGAGATTCCCTTGGAGCCTTCTCTTTACTAGGCTGAAAAGCCCCAGCTCTCTTAACCTGATTGTATGGGGAGGTGCTCTGGCTTATCTACAGTAGTTGATCTTGTATCAGCTCAAGTCAATGGCAAAGCTTCCATCAACTTGAGTCAATTTGACATGGTCATGAACTCCTAAACCAGGAGATAATTCTCTACAAACTTCCAGTGAGGGTTTGTGGTTTATTTCCATGAGATTGAAGGCTTTGTTGTTTTGAGGCAATGTTTCTGAAATATGCAGTGAGCACTGGGAGGACAAGGAGGGATTATTTTCCATGTAATACACAAATACTCATTGATTACTACTTTTTTTCCTCACACTTCAGTGTGTTAACATGTTACTTGTCTACTTTTTGTGTCAGGTATTCCTCCCTTTTCCCATTTGCCTGATATGGGAGCCATTAGATTGTGGCCCAAATCAGTGATTGAGCACCCAGTGAAGGGATATAGCCAGCCCTGGGAGCACAGGTAGAAACAGGTCAGTTCACCTGTGGCACTGGACCCTGTGTGTCCACCCCTCACTAGCCCCATGGAAAAGGTCTCTAGCCTTTAGGAAAAGCTCCTTTAGGAGTTTTCTGTGTTCTCTGATCTTTGGAAAGGGGAGGGTAAGTTATTCCTTTTATTACTATTTATTACTAAATTGTGACGAGTACCTTTCTTGGGTGATGTGAAGGTGATTAAAGGCAATTATATCTGCTGTCTCCTATCATTACAGCCTGCCTCTCTTTCTTTTTTTCTAACATGTACTTCCAGAGAAGCAGGTTTCAACTAGAGTAAAAGAAGAGGGGAAAACACTAATTTCTAGTGATAAACTAAATGTGTTATAGGTGAAGAAATGTCCACATTCAGAAAATGCCCAGTTTTGCATGTTGAGAGTACCTTCAATTCTAGCATTAGTATGAAGGGTGTGCTTCAGTACAACAGCAGATTGTCCTGCTGTTGTTGCATTTAAGTTTCTTCAGCTGTGTGCAAGCCCACACAATCCATGTTTAAGTGTAAATATGTACTTAATGTGCCCTACATGCCCTTGATGATACAAAGTTTCTGAAAACTGCAAAAAAAAAAACAAAACAAAACCAAAACAACATAAAAAATCATGCACTTCTGGTTAAAATTTAAACTCTACAATTTTAGAGGAAGAAAACAAATGATATAGAGGACTTTGCTAGTGTTTTTGTTTCTAGTGGTAATACTGGCAAGTCTGTGATTAAAATTCCATGGTATATTTAGAAAGTGGATTGTGCTCAAGATTACACAAGATAGTAACAAAATAAATTCTTCTATTCATTTCTTTTTAAGTAGGAAGCTTGCTCTTAACAAGGAGGAACTTACCCTCACTTCAAATCTGGGGTGGTCTGTGCTTTTCCTTGTGTTGAGAGTTTAGTTTGACTTTACTTCACAAGAGGCATTTTTCTGGTTCCAAATTACAAACATTTGTGAATTAGTATCATACTCTGTAGAGTCTGAGTCTGGATTGTCTTATCTCACAAAATGCACCAGTGGATGTCAAATCAATAGGCTACCCATAGTCTAACCTGACATGCTCATATGTATCCAGACTGCTCGGATGGGGAGTTCATAATGAACATAGTTGTTGTGCTGCCAGCACATATTATCTACTGTGGAAAAAGCAACCAAAGCTTGCAGTGCATCTCTTTTTTTTTTTTCTTTTTTTTCTTTTTGCGAACAGTCAAGAGTATTTCATAGAGAAGAACATTCAAAAGAAGCAGTGAAACAATGCTAGTAGTCGAAGAGAATGGGAAGCCACTGGCAGTCCTTGTAGGCAAGTTAGAAATTCAGTCTCATTTGCCACACATCTTTCCACTTTTGAGCACTATCCATGTAAGAGAAGCAATATTTTACAGAAGTGATTTAACAAATAGGTTTCAGACTATGGTAAAATGTGAATTGTGTCAGAATTAGATAGTGTGTTCCAAGGATTTATCAACAGAAATACATAATCAGAAAGTAATTGTGTGCAAATAGTAGGGGGGAAAAAAAGCAACATTACTGCCTCCAAAATTGCTTTATTGTTGGTGCTGCAACCTAGAAAGTACTATAAGCCAGAGTCTCACTTTGCTTTGAAAAGGTGCTAGGTTGTTTAAAAGAGTGTGGGTGGATGGTGACAGTACGGCTATATGTACAACAAATAATGTCATGATGAATCTTAAAGAAAACATTTGGAAAACACATAAAAGCTGGATAGGGCCATCTCTAAATTGGGATATGGATATGAGGGGTGGACTGTTTGATGGACAAGAAATTGGTTAGAAGGCTGTATGCAGAGTTTTGTGTTGAATAGCACTATGTCCAGGTGGAGGCCGGTGATGAGGTGTATCCCCCGGGGGTCTATCTTGGGACCAGTGCTCTTCAGCATCTTCGTTGATGATAGGTTGCACCCTTAGCAAGTTTGCCAGTGCCACCAAGCTGAGTGGTGCAAGTGACACGTTAGAGGGAAGGGATACCATCCAGGAAGACCTCGACAAACTAAAATGGTGGGTCCATGTGAACCTTCTGAGGTTCAGTGTTGCGAAGTGCAAGGTTTTGCACTTGGGTCAGAGTAATTCCAGATGCATGTGTGGACTGAGAGAAGAACAACTTGAGAGTAGCCCTGTGGAGGACCTGGGGGTTCTGGTGGATGAAGAACTGGACATGAGTAAGTAGTGTGCTCTTGCAGCCTGAAATGCCAGTGTTGTCCTGGGCTCTATCAGAAGAGGGGTGGTTAGAAGGGAGACGGAGGTGATTGTCCCCTTCTTCTCTGCCCTCGTGAGGCTCCATCTGGAGTATTGTGTCCAGGTCTGGGGCCCCCAATACAGGAAAAAAGTGGAGCTGTTGGATAGAGTCCAGAGGAGGGCCACAAAGATCATCAGAGAGCAGGATCACCTCCCATGCAAAGACAGGCTGAGTGAGCTTGGCTTGTTCAGCCTGGAGAAGAGACGGCTGCGGGGTGACCTCGCTGCAGCCTTGCAGTATTTAAAATGGGATTATGAACAGGAGAGGAATCAACTTTTTACAAGGGTGGACAGTGATAGGACAAAGGAAAATGGTTTTAAGCTCAAGGATGGAAGGTTTAGATTGGATGTCAGGGGGAAGTTCTTCATGGAAAGGGCAGTGAGATGCTGGAACAGACTGCCCGGAGTGGGTGTGGATGCTCCTTCCCTGATGGTTTTCAAGACCAGTTTGGATGGGGCCTGGGGCAGCCTGGTCTAGTACCACACCTGAAAGTTGGTTGCCCCTTCTGTGGCAAGGGGGTTGGAAGCCTGGGACCCTTGGGTTCCTTTCCAACCCAAACTATTCTATGATGCCGTGATATTTCACTCCACTTTTCTTACAGCCCAAGTGTATCTTGTATAGACATGTTTTGTGTGGACAGTCCCTTAAGGAGCTCTGTTTTAGGTTGGTACCTTTCCTGCCTAGGAGGCTGCTCAGCTGAACAGGATAGTTCTTACTCTTTTATTCTAGGGCCAAAATATCATGAAAAAGAAAATGTGCAAAGATTCAATTGAACACTTCCTTGAAATGTGTAATGGAATTAATAATCAGCCTTGTATTTAATAGGCCATACTGTAGCTGTGCAACAATACTTCTTGGGTAAGACATACCAGCCAAGGAGAAACATTTAATTAATGACCTACTCATCTACTTTCTGAGATTCTTTGAAAATGTTATGAGTGATACACAGCAGCAAGATGCCTAAAGGCACTGTGTCACATCCTGCCCCCGTTTTGGTCCCTTTGTGTTGCTTTTGTGTGTGGAATAGCTATCAATCAGCTTCTACCTGTATCTCCTGGATAACTGCTCTGGAAATCTTGCTGAATCTTTAAGTTGTAACAGCCCGGACCATACAGTGTGTGAGCCAGAGAGCTGACTATTTGAGGTCTCCGTTGCAGAGAACGCGCATCTATGGATTGGAGGATGCCTCACCTTGCAGTATTTTTGCTCCCTTCTGTGGATTGCTATCAGTCTATTACTTAGGGCACAATATTGTTTCTAATTTGGTTTGCTGGCAATACGTTATTGTGATCTGGCATGTCAGCCAAAATTTGTTGTTAAGTATTAAAATCAGATGAAGATTTTCATTGTGTTGGAGCCTGGCCGTTGTCATTTAGCCTGCAGCTTGACCAGGTTGTTCTTCAAAGTGACAGACACAATGGGCTGACTACTTCTTGCCTTCCCTCACAAAAGTCTTTTAAAGCTGTAGCTCCTACCTCTTCTTGCCCACCCCTCACTACCCTCCCTTCAAACGAGATAGCCTTGAAAATAATTTATGACTCAACTGCTGTGTTCTTTGTGTTCTCTGCTTTCCCTGTTATGAAAGATGCACATAGGTCATATTCCGTACAAATGTTGCTGTTATTCTCTTCCACTAGGGGCTCAAGATCTGGATCGCATTCGTTTGTCCACCTACCGAACAGCATGTAAACTTAGATTTGTTCAGAAAAAATGCAACTGTAAGTATGTCAGCTTTCCTATACTATTGATAGTATATTTCCATTACATTACAGTTTGTCTTTCAGATCAGTCCCAAAAGGGGTTGTTGGATCTGGCATGGCAAAAGGCACCAATCAGAGCACCTGGGAAGATTTCAAATACTGGCCTGTTCATATAAGGAGCTTGTCTCTCACGTGCCCATGATTGATTCAGTCATAGAAGCACTGGTTTTTCATGCAGGCTGCAGCTTTAACTAATATGAATGCTCACTGTGTTCTCCAGTTTTCTTTTAAGTAATACTTGGGGGTTTCAGCAGTCATGCAAATTGTTATAGTAACTCTGTGATGGAGTAAAGGTGATTCTGTTACTTGTCTGGGGTGCAGCAAAGTATGTGCAGTATTACTCAGCTCTGTTTTTTCCAGAACTTCTAATTCCCAAGAAGTTTCCTACTTGATTAGTGATCTTTTTAGCATTTCTTCTGACATCTGGTCTCTCTTCCTTTACTGTTTCAATTTCTATTAGCACATTCATGAGAAAACCTATAAACTTTAATGGATTTCAATGCATATAAAACCTGTTATGGATTGTATCATTTATTCTCCATCTAAAATATTGTTCAAATATGTAGAATGATGAGTTTTGGCTTATGTGTTTCACTGAATCTTTCTACATTAAGTTTAATGAAACCCATCCTACCTGGTCTTCGTATCTAAAATAGAATGACAGGCTGGCTGCACTTGTGCTATGCACGGTGGTAAATGCATTAAGAAATGTTCTGTTGATATGGATTAACCCCTTGGGAGGGAGTTCCTGGTTTTGAGGTTATACGTGTCTGTGTTACAGAAATGTTTAATTCATGCTGTCCATACATACTACAGGGACTAAGCTGTGACAGAGAAGTCTTTTGAGAGTGTTTAGTAGATTATTAACTACTTGGTCTTTCAATCACTTCTGCAGTGTGTTTCTCATATTTTGAATCTGTAGTTAGCTGAAGTATGAGTTGACAGATTAGTACCATTTTGCAAGCAGCCAGACACAAAACTTGGGAGGGGTTTAGTACCTACACAGCAGCTACCCATACAAGAGCCAGTGCATTGAGAGACACTATTATGCTGTGTTCAGTTGTTCATTTTTTAATTCTTTTTTAGGTTGTGTTTAAAAAGATGAAATTTCCACTTTGTTTTCATGGTAACAGTTCAATAATCTGAAGCGACCGAAATAACTAATTAAGTTGACAGTGATAGCAAAGATGCAGACTAATTGCTTTGGTAACTGTATACAGAGCAAATGAAAAGGCTTAAGAATGAGATAGCCACATTGTTGGGAGTGGCTGACTGGCTAAAAATATTGGTTGTTAATCTCAACTTTATTCCTCCTAAGTGTGAACTGCTTCTGTGGAACTATTCTTTCTGTTCTTTGTATTAAAATCACAGAATCACAGAATGGCCAGGGTTGGAAGGGACCTCAAGGATCTTGAATCTCCAACCCCCCCCCCCACCACAGGCAGGGCCACCAACCTCCCCATTTAATACCAGACCAGGCTGCCCAGGGCCCCATCCAACCCGGCCTTGAACACCTCCAGGGATGGGGCATCCACAGCCTCTCTGGGCAGCCTGTTCCAGCACCTCACCACTGTCATAGTAAAGAACTTCCCCCTGACATCCAATATTAGAGAACCAATGCGCGTAGCCTTCAGTTGACCAGTCTGTGCTGAGTCCCTCATGGTGGTACTTGCCTTCTGGCTGTCATTGGTAAGTGGTTTGGTGGCCTTACATCAAGAGTTACACAGTATCAGCCCTTTTTGGGGAAAAAAGTCTTAAACAAAAATGTCCTAGGAATTATGTTCTGTGCAACTTAAGGAATAATTTGTCTTGCTCTGGATCAGGCTGAATTGAGCATGTATTTTCTCCATAAAGTACAATTTTCTTCTCATTTCTGTCCAACTTCTGCTCTCCCACATAGCTTCCTCTCACTAGAAGAAGAGGAGTCACTCATTCACTGTGCAGTGGTGGTACAATGCAGAGCTTCTAAACACAGAGCCAATGAACCAAGTACTGGTCTGAAGTGGTTAATGTCTGACCTCTGCCTCATGTTAGTGACTCGTTTCCTACAGAAATTGCCATTAAGCTCTACTCAGTAATAAGATCAGGAGGAAAAAAAAGTGACATAGGGAAAGAACTTTCTGTTGTATCTGAGCTCTTTTGTATACAAGAGAATATAAGAAGGAAAAGCTCAAAGGCAGTCACACTGTACTCCTGTGCATGTCACCTCCTGTCACCCAAGCCATCTTTATCTTCTTTCAGCTGTGCTTTCCTGCACTACCTTGACCAGCTTCTTGCTCAGTCACTGTGGCCCGGAGTCACTGGGAAAAAGAATTGCTTGGAAAAAAGTATGTGCAAGGGGTTCTTTTAGAGAACTAATTTAATAAATTGCAGGGAGCTGCTCTTGGCTGCAGGCTGGAGATGTATGAGGATGGAAGCAAAGAGCTGTTCTAAGTGCCAGAAGTAGCTCTTCCAAGAAAAGCAGAGCAGAGGTTTTATTAACACAGGCTTTTTTTACCCTGAGGTGCACATTAGTATGGAACAGAGTGTGACAGTCCTTGGATATCAGGTGGCTGTGCTTATCACAAACAATGCAGTGCTTGTTTCTGCATCCTTTAAAGCAGGGACACACGGAGGGTCATCTCCCTGCCACCCACTGTGAAGTCTTCTCACTATGAAAGAGTATTTTGCTGAAACCTACATCATTGGGGTGGTTTTTACTGGTGATGTGAGTACTCTGTAATGGGGTAAGGTGCACTGGCAATCTCAGAGCTGTTCTCTGCAGTATTTCTCCTTATGCTATTCAAATGATGTGGCCAAAAGTTATAGAGAAAGTGGTAGTTTACCACCATTTGCTAGAACATCACTGCATATGTTGTGCTCTGAATACTAGCACTTACTGATCAAATTAATTATATCATTGAATTATTTCACTTTCTCAAGAGGAAGATACCTCTAAAGGTGTTTTAAAAACATCCTTCAAAACGGTCCATATTCTGTAAAACTTTAGGGGAAAAAAAAAAGTGAAAAATATTCCTTCCATAAAAATCTCTCGGAGCACTTAAACCAACAGCCAGTTTAAATAAAATCAGCAGTGTGAGAAAAAAATCAATATCAGTCATTGCTGTTATTTGTCAAACAGAACAGAATTGAATCCAATCCAGCTTCGTTCTTCAGAGAAGCAACAAATTCTTCATAAGAAGTAAGAAAATATGTGCATAAATATGAAAAAAATGCAGTGCTGTTTTTTTAAGGAGAGCTTCCTTCAGTTTTAAGTATTCTTCTTTTCCTGTGTTGATACTATCAATAAATAACAATAATATTGACAAACTATTGGGGCACACCTCTGTACCTGCTAGTACCCAAATGTGAGATGCAAACATCCCAAAACAAGAGACCTACAAAATTCTGCACATATGCATTCTGAAAGCTGGGAAGCTTTACTACTGCAACATAAATATAAATTCATTTTGTGCTTCCCTATTTCTGGTAACAATTTCTAAGCATATAAGTAATGAAAAGACAAACTCTAGATAATGTTCAGTATAGAAAGAGATGAGTATGTGCTACTTGCTTATTGATTTGCACATCTCCTTGCAATAGCAGTAGTCTTCTCTTAATCATAAAGACCAGCACAAGATGGAGATACCTCTACTTTACAAAAAGAAAAAAAAATAAAAGAAATTTTAAGAACTTACGATGGGGGCATGAATAATTTCAAGTGAATTAGACGAGTCTTGGAGAGACAGACCCCAGAGAATACCCTCCTGCAGGTTGCACTATCTTCAGATCTAAGAATGTAAAGCAGGAGCATGTCGGCTGACTGTGACTGCTTTCAGGAATCTCCATGTTGGATATAGTATCAGGAATAGCAATACTCTAACCATCTGAGGCTAAATTTCATTATTTGGGATGATGAGGAAGCAGGTGTGGAAACCTGATCAAAAGTACAGTATGTCTGTGCTGTACAAAATGTACAAAATGCAGCTGGCTGAACTTCATCTATGTTTTCTAGTATGTGAAGGAGGCCCACTGTCAAGGGCAGAGATAGGAAAGCCACAGGTAAGCACTGTGAGGTCTGTAGCAGTCACAGAACTCAAACCCTGCAGACTGATGTTTCTCAAAGTTGGGCATTAGAGTACTGTCCTTTACTTGACTTTCTGTGTGTTGAAGCAGGTTTTGAAACATCCAGTGTACGTTCACCATGTAAGGAAGATGCCACCTTGACAGTGTTGCCTTAAAGCTGTTATCCATAACAATCAGACACAGAAGAATAATAACGCTTTCCTAAAAGGAGGCGTGAGTGTCCAGTTATAATGCAGCCGCATTTATCTTTCAACATTCACTGGTCTGCAGGAAACACCAAAAAATTATGATTCCCAGTAATCCCCAGTCGTCCTTGTTCTGTTGGTTTATTAAAATCCAAGTGTTTATAGAGAGAAACAATCTGAGGTGGAATGTCATGTTAACATGCAGATTCCCTCTGGGCTATGGTGGCAGCAGGAGTAGAACGTAGCAACATATCGTAATCAAAACCATTATACAATTACACATCACTCACTTGTACAGAACTGTACAGCTGGAAAACTGCTGCTGTCCTCGGTGAACTTCTGAATGTGTTGTGAGGTTATTCTTTGACTCTGGCTGCAGAGAGCAAATTTTGCTGATTTCCATAGGTCAGAATAAATCACTGGCAGTTGAAAGCTTGAACCTGAAGCCTTGCCAATGATTGTTATAAGACGTTTAATTCAGACAAAAAGGAAGCTTTTTTTTCCCTCTTGTCGTTTAATCCCAGCACCTTAGGGTTTTGGAGTCTGTTTCTTTGCCTTCAATATTTTTCTGTGTGAGTGAATTTGGTTTGGTTTGGTCTGTCTTATCCAAGTCGTAATAGGGCTGTTTCCACACGGGGAGTGTGGCTGCTCTGGCTGTGATGGAGACCCTGTGAATGTCCAGGGCAGCCTTTTCCACCTCTACCCTGC